ACTGGTATTGTTCGAAAGTAGAGCACATGGGTTCTGAGTGTGTGTGTGTGTGTGGCCCGGGGGGGGGGTGTATGTGTTGGGCGGGGGTAATGTAGAATTAATTTAAAATAGTAATCCCTTTTCGTGTTATTTTTTTTGTGTTATTGATCTAAAACGGAACGCTTCTTCTTCATCATTTAAATTTATAAAATAGTTTACACGACGAATGGAATCAATAACTTAATTAACTATAAAATATGTTTTTATTTAGTAAAGTTTAAAATTTGTTGATATAAAACGATATAAACATATAATTTTTAATATTTTTTTAACAATGAGCTGACTTGGCATGAACTCGGCAAAATTCTGTACACAAAAATTCCACCAAAGATTTTTCTACCTTTAAAAATGTCGTAACAATTTCTGGGTACACAAACAAGTAATGTACTTATTCTACAGTGTTGCAGTCGGTAGACTACTGTATTAATCTACTAGTGTGGAAATTCATCATCTGTCACCAAACGTTGATTAAATAGACTAAACAAATAAGCTAATAACATTACACAAACTAAACATCCTTGACTTAAAGAGATAATTTGAAGAGAAATCCTGTTGTAAAAAGAAAACAAAAGTAATTAAATGATGCATCACTAGTATCTAAGAAGACATCCCACCCACTACATCACAAAAAACTAAGATGACATACCACCCACTACATCACAGATACCTAAGATGACATCCCACCCACAACATCACAGATACCTAAGATGACATCCCACCCACTACATCAGAAATGCTTAAGATGGCATCCCACCCACTACATCACAGATACCTAAGATGACATCCAACCCACTACATCACAGATACCTAAGATGACATCCCATCCACTACATTACAGATACCTAAGATGACATCCCACTCACTACATCACAGATATCTAAGATGACATCCCACTCACTACATCACAGATATCTAAGATGACATCCCACCCACTAAATTTGAGATACCTAAGATGACATCCCACCCACTAAATTTGAGATACCTAAGATGACATCCAACCCACTACATCACAGATATCTAAGATGACATCCCACCCACTACATCACAGATATCTAAGATGACATCACACCCACTACATCACAGATATCTAAGATGACATCCCACCCACTACATCACAGATACCTAAGACGACATCACACCCACTACCTCACAGATACCTAAGATGACATCCCACCCACTACATCACAGATACCTAAGATGACATCCCACCCACTACATCACAGATACCTAAGATGACATCCCACCAACTACATCACAGATACCTCTTATAAGATGACATCCCACCCACTACATCACAGATATCTAAGATGATATCCCACCCACTACATCACAGATACCTAAGATGACATCCCACCCACTACATCACAGATATCTAAGATGACATCCCACCCACTACATCACAGATATCTAAGATGACATCCCACCCAGTACATCACAGATATCTAAGATGACATCCCACCCACTACATCACAGATACCTAAGATGACATCCCACCCACTACATCACAGATATCTAAGATGACATCCCACCCACTACATCACAGATACCTAAGATGACATCCCACCCACTACATCACAGATACCTAAGATGACATCCCACCCACTACATTACAGATACCTAAGATCAGCTCGATCATGATGATTATTTTCTATTAAAGTTTGGACCGAAAGATATAAAAATTATTTTGTTCCCCAGTCGGTACGAATTTACCAGCGTGCTTCCCTAGCGGGTTACCAAATCTAAATGATCACCAATGGTGACAAGTGATGACCCAGCTAACAAGGCAGCTGATACACCAAACCATTGTTCAGATAGATGACGATAACTTGAATAACAACACAGCGGAGAGTTGTGCAACACTTAATAAAACGGTATCAAGCCTAAGTGGGGCAACTGCATCGGGAAACACCGAAATGGCGTCATCATCAAGGGAAAAGGGACCCCCTTTCCTGGAGCGTCGTCAATGTATCATCAGGAGCGTCATTTGGGTAGGGCAGTGTGGAGCATTTGCCCCCTCCCCCCTTGAATTTGCAGGTTTTATTCAAAATACTATATACTGTTGTGCCTCTAGTAAAAAAGAACTTAACAGGCTGACAAAGTTTTGGTCTTGCCCCTTCCCCCCCCCCCTGGAAAAAATGTATCATTAGCTGTTTATACAAGAAGATGGCCCGGAAGGTGCCGTGAACTTTTTGTTTTTAATTCTTGGTATTGGAAAAGCTAAAACATGATCATGACAACATCCCCACGTGTAACACTTGTGCCTTGTGCAACAAAAGCCAAACCCCAAACCACTTCTCTCATTGGTTAAAATGCAGAAAATTGTATAGCGCAGATGGGGTAAATATTGCCCCAGACGGCCCAAGAAAGAAAAATATTTATGCAGTTGGACGAACATTTTTTTTCAGACACTAATTTTTTCTAATTCTGAGGTCAATTAGATCAGAGGCGTAGCGAGGGGGCGCAGGGGGAGATGTTTCCGGGCACAGGCGAGTTAGGGGCGCCCAGATGTGCTTTGATATTATTTTATTGATGAAAATAATGGGTTGGAAAGTTGACAAAAGATAAGGGGGCTCTTTAGAATGAAACTTGTCCCCGGACGCCAAACACTCTCGCTACGCCCCTGCATTAGATTATCCTTAGAGTGTTTAGTACAGTGGTTCTTAACCTTTTTGGAGGTACCGGACCCCACCAGTTTCATATGCGCATTCACCGAACCCTTTATATTAGGAAAAATAAAATAATATTTTTTTCTTCTGATTTATTTTTTACCTCCGCCGAACCCCTGAGACTGACTCACCGAAGCCCTGGGGTTCGATCGAACCCAGGTTAAGAACCACTGGTTTATTATTAATGTAGAAAAGCCTTCTGTTGCTTCATAGATGGTTTAATTTCATTGTCCAAAGCCAGAAAAGCCAAACTTTTGATTTGCCTTGGATGAGGGCAAAATGTAGAATGTGATTGACCGCTGTGATGTACTTATTCCTTTCTCGTGTTATGTGGGTAAAATAGAAATAAGCAGTCTTTGAAGAATGCATCAAAATGTTGTGAAGAATATTTTTGTAATCGATTACGATCCAATTTTAGTCAATCATTTGTATATTCAACAATAGTCCCTTCAAAAGATCCGTTCGCTTGAAGTAAAGCGTGATGATACAATGATGAAAAAGAAGACAAAATGACATGACCAGTGTCAAAAGATGTCCCAGTTTTGAGAAGGACCTTTTGTATAGGCCCTACAGTCTAACGCTTTCTTGGTTTTGGACTTGCCTAACGGTGTGTACGTGAAAGGTTAATGTTATACTGTGACAGTTTCTAATGATATCGTTTCCCACAAGTGCAAGAATGGAGGCTAACTTGCCACTTCATCGTTCTACTTTTAGTTCACATTTAACATTGATGAAATTCTAAGATCCGAACCTTTTTTTATGTGATCTGGAGAAAACGTGTTGGTGGACCATTATCCATGTTCCCAATAGGGTTCTTACAAAATTTGTGATTGCTGCATAATTTGTTGTTTAAATAGTTAAATATAGCAAGTGCGCTTCCAAAAGAAAGTCGACGAAAATTTTAGAAAACATACAATTTTTTTTAAAGACTGAAATTCCAGCCTTTATCCCTTCAGCTCGCAAAATCAACAAACTTACACAGGACGTATAGTCGTAAAGTGGTCCTTGCAGTGTTTCCCACCATGAAATTCTGTCCTGGTTTCGTTTCGCTTCATTGTTATCGGTGCCTCAATTAAGATATTTAATTAAATTTAAATATATATATATTTTAAAACTACACAAATTTATCATCTTTAGATTATGACAAATAGTGTGTACTCTTTAAAGCTGTCGGTGAAACTTTAACAATCACTCTCATTTCTTTAAATCCTGAGTAAACATCAAATTTGACTCAAATATCAAGAAGCTATGACAAGAGCGCATCAAGCCCTGGGAAACATCCATCCGTTTTTTTAAAAATCCTTTTTTATTAACTTCGCTTTTTTGGTGTGCTCGTTTGTTTGTGGCACAATTTTCTAAAGGTTAAATTACCCACTTTCCGTCATCCTATCAAGCTGGAACTTGAAAAATAGACTCCTTGCCGATGACAACATATTTTATTAAATTTTCCGCCAACAACCCCATTCCTCCAAGAAATCAGTTTAACCTATCTTTCAAGGGGATGCTAATTGACCCACTTCCCGTGATCCTACCGAGTCAACACTTAACACCTAGACTCGTTGCCAATGACGACGTAATCTTTCACATTTTCAGCTCCCATCTCCGCCTTCAAACTTAAGTTTTTACTTTTTTTTTCAATGGCAGATGAAGGAAATATGATGCAATGATGGCTTAACAACTTTAGCCATCGCTTGGTCACACAAAAGTGCAGGAATAGGATTCATACGAAAAACGTTGCATTTAAGGATTGTTTAATCAGTTTAATTTATTTAAACCCATTCAAGAATATTTGAGAATTTTGTTGTTTTTTTAAACCTTAAATCTTCATATGACTTGACAGTAGTTTGAGCATTCACCTTAAATGAGGGTTGGAGTGCACATAAGCATTTAAAAAAAACAAAAACTTTTCATCAAAGATTTATTGCACAAAAAGTTGTCATTCCTGTGTATCTTATTTTTTTTATTTTTGTAGGCAAAACTTAGTTCATTTAATGAATAATTTCACGTGAATCATAAGAAAGATACACCATTTGTTATATGTCCCTTTGAACAGTGTGCCGAAGGCAATTGTTTCTTTGCATTTGCCGGAATTTTTTAGTGGAAAAAAAAAATATTCTATCATCTATTATAAATAAACTCTTCACTTATTTTTTAATGCACACACGAGTAAACTGTGTTCTATTAACAAATGTTTATGTGAACTATTTTACGCATGTGTATTTATGAGTGTACTTTGTGGAAGTAAACAATCTCTCCTTTTTTTAAATAATTTGTTTTTCTACACAAAACCGACGTGAACGTTGTGACGAATGTCTGCTTGAACCTTGAGTTAAACTTCAGGTAGACGAACAGGTTCACTGACATGTTGATGACGTTCAACAGGTCGTTGATCTCCAGGCACACCGCGTACGTGTTGCCGTACTTTCCGATCCCCGAGAACTGGGGCAGCACGAGACTGGTGAAAAATATCCCAATGTTCGGGCTGTTGAGGACCACGAAGATAAAAGCCACGACATTGACGGCCTGGGTCAGGCGGAGCTCTTTCTTGAAAGCGCGCGATTTGTTGGTCTTCCTCCGAATAGTTTCCTTGACTTCATTTGATGGTCTGTGAGACACGTTCTCCACTGAAAAGCCGTCCATGGCTTCAGGCGTGCAGGAAGAAGTGCTAAAAGTATTTCCATTAAGTTTTTTCAGTGTCCCTAGTTGTGGTTTTCCATTACTTGGCTGGTCTTCACGGCTTTTGAGCAAGACATCGGGAATTGACTCAATTGGTGATAAATGCGTCTTTGTTGAGAATATTTCATCCTTAAGTACCGTAGTGGTTGCGGTGTGTGCCCGATTTCTAAACCTCAAAGACTGATTCAGTTTAACTGTCAGTAAAATAGTGCAAAGAAGAACCGTGAATTCTGAAACGATCGGTATGGATATGTAACTAATACCTTTCAGCACCGGGAATACCTGGTTGAGGAAGAATGGCGAGAAACAAAACACGAGGCGCGTAGAGTTGGTTGCGATGTCAAAGCCGGGTTGGAGTGGTAGCGCGCTGACGGTGAACGGAATGAACGTAACCATGGTCGCGCCGTAGATACCAACAGAGACGGCGAGGCAACGACTTCTGGAAAACTGATTTTTAAATTTTATCGGCATGGCGACGCAGCAGCATTTCTGAACGGCCAGAAACAGGGTTAGGAGCGTCGAAATGTTGTAGAACATGAGGCCGTAAAAAGGTAGAACATAACTGACCCAGTACAGGCTGACGTAAGGCTTGACCTGGAAGGTGAGGTCCAGCAGCCCCAACAGCGTGGCGACCAGAAACGTCGCAAGACAAATCAGGTCAGAAACTGTGATTGAGAAGAAAGATACCGAGATGCCATCACCAATGCCAGTTTTCAAGAATACGATCAGAGCCAGGATGTTGGTGACGATCCCGAAAATTCGAAAAGTCAGTTTGACAATCTGCTGGAGGATGATCACGTTGATGAAGTAAGCAGTTTTGTGATCGATAAAATCTGAACCGCCATAGCCTAAAAATGCGCTCTGTGCTTGTGTGCTCTGTGCTGGTGTGCTCTGTGCTGGTGTGCTCTGTGCTGGTGTGCTCTGTGCTGGTGTGTTTGAGTTCATCATAACCTTGTGGTATAGTAATAATTTTTTTTTAAAAAGACAATTTTCTTATATCTTTTAAACTAAACCACGACCTATGGTAGATATATCCTGTTTGTGCATAGAAGTCAATGTATCTTTAAATTATCAACACAACAATGAATTATTTCAGGGACTTAAATCGCTTTAAATCCAAAAGATCCATGCACTCTTGGGCCACAGAAGTGTAGTTAAAAGTGACTTGGGTTAAATACAACAACTATTTGCTTTTCGGTGACAGCAGCAACAACACACACACACAAACCCTGTAATGGATTTTTTTATGCCCTATTGTTCCGAGAAAACGTTTTTTAAGAAACATGTGTTTAAGGTCTCTACTACAACTTAATGATTGGCTCCGTGACAAAGTCAGCTGTTTTGACGAGCCCATTTTCCTTTATTCAAGTCTTGCGGGGAAAAAATGAAGACACAAAAAAAAAATAAAAAAAAATAAAATTGATTAGTTCCAGTTATTAAACGAAACGTCGAATATTGAATTACTGAACTGGAAGAAAGCTTTTGAAATGACAGCACATTAGTTGAGTAAACAGAGCCATTACCTGGTAAATAGAGCTTAGCACGCGCATAGACAAGCGTGGTGAATGGACGTGTGTTTAAGCTTTAATTGTTTTCAAGAGTAGTTGAGTAAGAACTGGCCACGGTCTTTGTTCGTGAGTCTGAGTGGTGTGGGAACATGCTAACACAAGCATGAGCTCAACAAAGTCCTCAATGACCCAATTACATTTAATTATCGTCGTGAAATTTGGGAAAAGAGGGGGGCGGGGGGACTCTATGCATATGTCAAATATATCTATAACGCAAGATAAATATCAGTTACGCCACTACGATTATATACTATTTTATGATTTATGTCTGGGATGAACTGGTAAGAGCTGTTTAGCTGTGAGGGATCATGCAATGAACTGTAGACACCGTCATTTATTTAAAACTAAATATTAAAGCGCAAGACAAGAGCATTTGTATCAATATAATTGTTTTAAATTGCGAGGGGGCTCTGACTTGATTGATACCTTTCCCACTTGATCACGGGGCCCAAGCCGGGTAGCAGTTGTTGAGTCACTTCTGGCAGCTTTAAAACACACGGGCAAGCACATTTTTAATTTCACAGTTTATGCTAGAGACGTAATGTGTATCCCCAGGTTAAATTGTGTGACTCGTGAAACGTTTTTTAACCTATCGTGACCGAGGATCGGCAACAGCTTCTCTTCCCCCCCTCCCCCTCCCCATTGGCTGGGATATATATTTGCTTCATGGTAATCCTGTTTGGGTTGCTGATGACATTGCACCGGGTCATCCATTCATTCGTCAAACGCCGACTTGTGTCTGATGTAATGATAACGTAATAACTAACAAACAAAAAAACAAACAAAATCAGTATGTCGGCTGCTTCTTTGGTGGCTGCCTGCAGCGTCGGGTCACTATGAAACTACATCGCTTTCTTCTGTTCTAAGCCAGGTCTCTTGGGTATTGCACTTTCTCGTTATATTATTTTTATTATTATTATTACAGTGGTCTTATATAGCGCGGTACCCCAGCCTAGGGCAGGGCACACCGCGCTGCCCATAAAAATATGAGCAAACATAGTCACGACATAAAAAAAAATTACATACATTTATTTAATTAAAAACATCTGTATAAAAATTGTCAAAAAATAGTGAGTAATCTGAGTGCTGTCTTGGGAGTCGGCATTCTCCAGACATCACCGTTCCACCCCCATGTGCGCTAAGGGATACCACCAGCAAGCTTGCCCTGAAGCTATCACACCCACGAGTTAGTTTTGAATTGTATTTTCCTCAATGCTCACAATGGTTGATCTCCTCATTAGTGTATCCATGACAAAAATGGCGTATTCGCTTAGATGACCTTCACGCTGATTATTTTGGTCACGATCATCAACTGCTGCGGCCGTTCTGTGTAGGGACTTAACCGTGTCACATCTTTCATCAGTCTATAGTTGACAGCGGTCATGTACTCTCTATTGGATGTTGACTCATGACCCGCATCCCGCCCCCTGTCTCTGGGGTACATGTTACTTGCCATGTCAGACACTCTTTTTGTATTTTCATGTGCGTTTTGGTATTTAACCAGACGCAACTGCTCGGTCATCAGCGTGATGTGCATCACGAGATTTAACCAGATGCCACTGCTCGGTCATCAGCGTGATTTGCATCACGGGGCGTAAAAGCCGGCGTCTGTTTATTCGTTACCTCCTACTTGTTTGGTTCGTAGCATTTATAGCTGGGTTTTTTTTCACCAGTGAGTAGAGCATGCAAGAGGGACAGTAGGTCGAGAGAGAGAGAGAGAGAGAGAGGAGACAGGCAGAGAGAGAGGGAAACAGGGAGGGAGAGAGAAAGAGAGCGCCCAAGTTTTATAGATTTTAAATATTGCGATTTCGCCTTTAAGCTACATTCACTAAATCATTAGGCAAATGGGAAACTAAGTTATATTTCTTTACATCACCTTCCAAAAGATGTATTAATTTACATCACCTTCCGATGTTGTATTTCTTTACATCACCTTCCAATGTTGTATTTCTTAACATCACATACTCCTAGCCACATGGCTGCTCCTCGAAGGATTACTCCTAGCCGCATGGCTGCTCCTCGAAGGCACACTCTTGCCGTATGGCTGCTCCTCGAAGGCATACTCCTAGCCGCATGGCTGCTCCTCGAAGGCATACTCCTAGCCACATGGCTGCTCCTCGAAGGCATACTCCTAGCCGCAAGATAGCTCCTCGAAGGCATACTCCTAGCCGCAAGATAGCCCCTCGAAGGCATACTCCTAGCTACATAGCTGCTCCTCGAAGGCATACTCCTAGCCACATGGCTGCTCCTCGAAGGCATACTCCTAGCCGCATTGGCTGCTCCTCGAAGGCATACTCCTAGCCACATGGCTGCTCCTCGAAGGCATACTCCTACCCGCATGGCTGCTCCTCGAAGGCCTACTCCGAGCCACATGGCTGCTCCTCGAAGGCATACTCCTAGCCACATGGCTGCTCCTCGAAGGCATACTCCTAGCCGCATTGGCTGCTCCTCGAAGGCATACTCATAGCCACATGGCTGCTCCTCGAAGGCATACTCCTACCCGCATGGCTGCTCCTCGAAGGCATACTCCGAGCCACATGGCTGCTCCTCGAAGGCATACTCCTAGCCGCACGGCTGCTCCTGGAAGCCGTATAGTCCGTATTTTAAACGTCACTTTGCCTGAGGTGCTAAGTCATGATTGCAATCAGACGCTAATCCCCCCACCCCTCCCTTTTTTTTTCCAACCCGGTCAGAAGCGCAGGGTTAAAAAATATTGACGAGAATATATTGCTCATTTAGAATACTTCACCCAGTAATTGTAATCTTACTGTTTCACACTTGCCCTCACACCCCCCTCCACCAGGGGGAAACCATACAGTAGATCTATAATTGCGATTCATTATAACATCGCGAAATGAATTATCTACAATTTTTTATTTTTTTTTAATCAACAGAGCATTGCCTCTATACGTTTATGGGTGCAAACCTTGTACCAATATGAGCTGGAGTCATCGGTGCAAACCTTGTACCAATATGAGCTGGAGTCATCGGTGCAAACCTTGTACCAATATGAGCTGGAGTCATCGGTGCAAACCTTGTACCAATATGAGCTGGAGTCATCGGTGCAAACCTTGTACCAATATGAGCTGGAGTCATCGGTGCAAACCTTGTACCAATATGAGCTGGAGTCATCGGTGCAAACCTTGTACCAATATGAGCTGGAGTCATCGGTGCAAACCTTGTACCAATATGAGCTGGAGTCATCGGTGCAAACCTTGTACCAATATGAGCTGGAGTCATCGGTGCAAACCTTGTACCAATATGAGCTGGAGTCATTGGTGCAAACCTTGTACCAATACGAGCAGGAGTCATGGGTCACTGAGAGCAGAAACTTGTTGATAACGTACCCGTATCGTATACTTAAGAAGCTCGGACACTTATTTTTTTCTTTTAAGTTTATTTCTAAAACTATTGTGCAGAGTTCCGTAACTGGCGCCAGCCGGCGGGCGAAGCCACAACTAACACTGGTTGATTGAATTAAGACAAAACAAAACGGTTGAATGAAGAAAACAATGAAATGAACACCACGCTTTATTTTTAATTGGCAACCCAAGCAATTCAAAAACATTCCCTTTTACTTTCATCTATTATTTAAAGGCTTTCAGTCACTCAATGGATTGATGACAGTGCAGCAGTAGAGAAGAGGAGAAAGAAAGAAAGAAAGAAAGAAAGAAAGAAAGAAAGAAAGAAAGAAAGAAAGAAAGAAAGAAAGAAAGAAAAGAAAGAAAGAAAGAAAGAAAGAAAGAAAAAACCTGAAAGAAATTGGTAATTGGAAATCAATTAAACACCCGCTTATGAAACTCCCACTGAGGTAATGACATCGGAGACATCCATGGTGTGTGTTGACAACAATTTGACTAGACCCACCATAACATACCGACGACGCAGGACATAATATGCTATTTGTAAACGGTAAATAAAAGGGCAGGGATTGTAAGTAGTAGAGCAATTTACAGGATTCAGATCTGACAATGTATGTGACAATGTATGTGACAATGTATGTGACAATGTATGTGACAATGTATGTGACAATGTATGTGACAATGTATGTGACAATGTATGTGACAATGTATGTGACAATGTATGTGACAATGTATGTGACAATGTATGTGACAATGTATGTGACAATGTATGTGACAATGTATGTGACGATGTATGTGACGATGTATGTAA